TCCTACTAGGAGGCGGCTGATACGTGCGGGCCAGGAGGTATCTGAGGAACTGTTGTGGGGTGTGCCTGTCACGTGGCGAGATGTGTGACTCGACAGCTGAAACAAACAGCGAGAAGCAGCCCAAGTGTCCACTGATGGACGGATGGCTAAACCAAATGTGACATTTATATACACATGCCGACACATGCCACCACATGCATGAACCTGGGGAGCATCCTGCTGAGGGAGAGAAGTGTCAGGAACCTAGCGCTGCAGGACCCCACTCCCAGGACGGGCCTGGAGTCAGATGCAGACACAGGAAATAGAATGGCGGTTGCCAGCGGCCGCAGGAGGGAGGGATGGAGAGCTGTTACTTAATGGGCACAGTTTGGGTTTTGCAAGATGAAAAGTTCTGGAGATTCGTCACACAACCCTGTGAATGTACTGAATACCACTGAACTACACACCTGAAAATGGTTAGGATGGAAATTTGGAGTTATGAGTATTTAACCACATGTTTAAAAATCGATGAGATGCCCTGGCCAGTTTGGCTCAGCGGTTAGAGCATCGGCCTGCGGTCCGGAGAGACCCGGGTTCGGTTCCCGCTAAGGGCACGTACTTCGTTTGCAGTTTGTCCCCGGCCCTGGTTGGTCGTGTGGGTGGCAGCCACTCGATGTGTCCCTTTCACATCGATGTTTCTCTCTCTCTCTCCCTTGCTCTCTCTCCCTCCCACTCTATCTGTACAAAAAATGGAAAAATATCCTCGGGTGAGGATAAAAAAAAAAAAAAAAATCGATGAGATGATCTGAGAAATAGACGTCACACATTTTGACTTCCAGGGATGTGAGCTGGGGTGGGGAGAGAGAATGATCTAAGTAGGGGATGATCCCTGTCTAGAGCTCTTAGGGATATGTTGAAATAACATACTGCCCCCTCTAAGGGAAAGGTCACACCTTCATCTGGCCCCAGGACAGGGGTCTTACAGTAGTGATGGACATAGTCAGGACGGAGTCTAGCCCGAGCCCTGCAGCTTCCGGGACAGTGACTTAGGACAAGCCTCTTCTCCCCCTGGGCCTCACCGTCCTCCACTGGGAAATGAGAATAATGATTCCCCACTCCTAAGCCAGTCAGCCTCACATGGAGACACTGCGGTTTGGGACAAGCACAGGCCTTGGGTTCACACTGGCCTCCCTGCTGATACACTCCTGACCCTCCCCCGTTGACCTTGGGACAAGCACAGGCCTTGGGTTCACACTGGCCTCCCTGCTGATACACTCCTGACCATCCCCCGTTGATGCTCCGCCCTACCCTGCACCGCTGAGACCTCCAGGCCTCACTCTCTCCGGTGGCGTAAGAGTCTCATTTCCCTGCAGGAGGCGCAGTAGACCTGGGCACCTGGAGAACCTCTGCGAAACTAAAACAAGCTCGCTAGTGGGTTGCAGCCAGCAGAACAGCCTTGCGCTCTTAGTTCTATGAGAAGAAAGATTCCTTCCGGGCGGACCTGGGAGGGTGGGTTGGGCCCAGAGCACATGTGCTGGCAGAGCATCTGTGATGAAGTGGCCCGGCCACTTCCTCAGGCCTTTGTGATGTTTGGCAGGAGCGGCAGGGGCTAGGAGCTCTGCCCAGCTTACCGGAGCCCACCTCTTTTTCCTGCCCCCACAGACACCGGCTTTGAAGCCGTAGAAGTGGAGAGAGCATAGCGGGTGGGTATAGGTGGATACTTACTGAAGGAGGGCATAGTGGGTGGGCTGGCCTTCCTCCAGCCTGGGGGTCGATGGGCAAGGGAGCCAGCACTGTCGTGTAGTTAAAACATACCAGGGTGCTAAGCACTGTTCATGCTTTATCTTGGATTCTCTTAATAGCACAGTGAGCTAGGTGGCGTGCCCATTTTACAGATAGGAAATCTGCTTATCTGCTTCTGGAAAGAAACTGGTAAGAGGATAAAGGCACGGCAGGCTTCCTGGGGCCACCTCAGAAAAGGTGAGGTGAGCGTCTGTGAGGAAAGCATGACCAATTCCATGAGGTGACCTTCCGGAGATTTCTTGAATCAGACGCTGTGGGGAAGAAGGAAACAGAGTGCCGGCCTCAGCCTGGAGGTTGGCTGGCCGTGTGGAGGGGCGGTGTTGACCCCAGGCCCGGTGGCTCCAGTGTGCCTGCCCCATGGACGAGACCTGTCCAGAACGTCCCAGTGGAAGGACAGGTGGAGGAGGGCCGCGGAGCTGTTTCTGTGGCTTTTCATCAGTTGTTGCTGTTTTCCTCTCAAATAAAAGTGAATTGTCTGCCATCTTGTGGCAGAGTCCTGGTACTGCCTGAGCCCCCACTGTCCTGCCTCCCTTCCCACTGCTCCCCCAAAGCAGTGCTGCCCCTCTGGGCTGGTTGGTGGGCGGGGGTCAGTGAGAGCTGATGTGGACAGAAGGAGGGGAGCCTGGCAATAGCGTCATGGGCGCCTGCTTCCTTCCCATCAGGTAGAGAGGTTTCTGGGAGGGCCACCCTTGTTCGTACCAGGAGGATGGCCATCTGTGAAAGAGAAGTCCCGAGGGCAGCGTGTGAGGAGGTGGCCCCCAGAGAGGACGGGGCCCACAAGAGGCGAGTGAGCAGAGAGGTTGGCAGCCCTGGGAACCTGGCCCTGGCTCTAGGGGTGACGGAGATGGGGGGGGAGGGGGAAGGATCTCAGCCCGGGAAGTACCCGTTCGGTGTGGCCATAGTGGGGACATTCTGAGGTCACTATCTGATTTTGCTCAGAATGTAGAAGACTCAGTCGGCATGCACAGGGCGGCTCAGAAGAGCCGGAGGGCGGCACCTCTCCATGGCTGTGGTGCAGCAGCGAGTGGACAAGCTCCCCGAGGGCCTCCCTGGGCTTCAGACCTCGTGAGGGTGCGAACTCCACGTGTAAACCCCGAGCCCTCGGGAGCCAGCCTTATTTGGCACATGGATGCAGCTGCAGGAAATGAGAGATCCCCCGGTCGGCCCTAAGCATCCCTGGCTCTCTGAACTTGGGCCAGGAATGCCAAATCCCGACCCTGCATCTTTTCTTTCCACAAGCTCTCGGCCTGGACACCCCACAGACCTTGTGCCTGTCACCTCGTGCTCCAAAGCCCGCCTTCAGTGGCATTTCTTCACAAGTGCTGCTGCTGACTTACGTGACTGCGTTACCACCGTACGCACAGGCACAGATCCGGGTCCCAGCTCAGTGAGGTCTTTCCTAACTCTCACTCTACCCAGGACAGTTAACCATCCCGGCTCTCGCTCTCACTGAGGTTCTGCGTCCTGAACACAGTGCTGGCCCCAAATGCTGTCTTAGCTGGGGTGCAGTCACGGACACAGTGCTGAGGGGTCTCAAGCAGGGTGGATTTTGCCAAGGGAATTGAGTGCTTCCAGCATCGTTAGAAAGGCGGTTGGAGTGACGGTCAGGGAGAGCACCACTGGATTTCAGGATATCAAGAAGTTACAGAAATCGCTAGAAACCATTGCCGATGGCGCTCATTGCCTGCAGCGCGAGAGTGGACGGCTCTCCGGAGGAGCCGCAGTCGCAGGTCCGCTCTCAGAATATGTCTGTGCTCATCCTCGCAGAGCACCTTGAGAGCAGGTGACCTGGCCGGCCAGATCGCACCTGTGCCCCTCCCCCTGGGGCAGCTAATCCCGGGCACTGCTGGCAACAGATTCTGGGAAAGGTAGTTTCCAGGCTCGCGGCCGATGCGTGCGAGGGTGAGCCGACAATGCCAGGGATCAGGAAACAATGCCTGACACACACGTTTGAAGACAGATGATAACAATGGCACTTCCTTCAGACGGCTGTTGTGAAGCTAAGATTCACATTGTGAAGTCTTTGTGCAGAGTGTGGCATATGGTGAACCCTGGAGAATTGCTTGTTTACCAAGAAGTGTCAAAACTGAAATCAGAATGGCTCCTTGTTGTGATTTTCACCCCTGTAAGGAAACTGGCTGCCTGTGAGCGGTGGGGTCCAATCTGCCCGCCCTAGCGAGGATCCTGCCCCTCGCCATCCCCACCGGCTCGTCGGATCCTCATTCAGCCTCTTGTGGGCTCAGAGGGCTGGATGGATGGTCGGGAGAAAGGTGAATGTTTTCAGGGAAAACCGAGGCAGGGAATCAGGCTGAATATTAATATTGGATTCCTAATGCTCGGCAGATAGGAGGACTTGCTCGCAATAGACCAACAAAGAGTCAGAGATTGGGCAGCTCCCTTATGGAAACACAAGTCCCCACCTGGCACCCCACCCAGGATGGAATCAGTAAGCCAGGGCCCGTCTCTGCAGCCTGGTCTCAAGCACTGCAGGCAGCCTGTGACAGGAAGAACTGGGGCACAGCTGAACCCAGACGGGAAGGGAAGCAGGCTAAGATCCATGGGGAACAATGTCTGTTTCTTAATCCGTCTCCTGCCCCAAATAGCTCCGCTCTCCTCCCCCAGCTTGTGTTTACCTGCCTGTTTCTTTCCCTGGTAGCAGGTGCCACCAGGCCTTCAACTAGGTCACAAGGGGCAGTGATGAGCCCACACAGGCCCTCAGGCCACCTCCTCCCCTGACCTCACTCCCCAGGTTCCAGGACCTGGAGTCACAAAGCCCAGACCCCAGTGACCCTCTGCTGCCCGGGCATCCTGGCAGGGTCTCTGCTCCCTAGAACCACAGGGAGCGAGTGGGGGATCCTCTGTCCCTGTGAGTGGGCAGGGGCCTGTCCTGGGCTAGAATCAGAGGGGGCAGCCCTGGGTTGCTCAGCCCTCCCTGCCTCACCCTGCGGGTGCCCCTCCCACTGTAGCCAGGCTGAATGCTCTCAGGGACCCCATTCTTCCCGGGCATCCAGGGAGCCACGTGTCCCTGCTGTTTCCCCTGGGAAATCAAGGATATTATAGCTTGCCCAGAATAACCCAGCTGGTAAATGGCAAAGCCCAGGCGGGCCAGGACCAACGGCATACCCCTAGCTACCCTGACAGCCTCCCCCACAGCCTGAGGGCCATGTCCCTCCACCTCTGCCCAGGATCGGGTCCTGATGATGCCTTTCTCCCCACAGGTCCTATCTGAGCACGGCTATGGCCAGATCACGACCGACATCCGGGAGGGACAGACTTTCTACTACGCGGAGGATTACCACCAGCAGTACCTGAGCAAGAACCCCGGCGGCTACTGTGGCCTTGGTGGCACCGGAGTGTCCTGTCCGATGGGTATTAAAAAGTAGTATCTCCCCATGTCGATGGCCCTTGAGGTCCCAGCAAAAACGCTTCCAACAAATTGGGCAGTTGTTCTGTGGCTCTCATCACGGGCTTTGCAGGGCACAGAGGCCTCAGGAAGCCGGGTCTATTGCGTCTGCCTGAGCGCTAGATACGTAGTTTCTCTCCCAGCCGGTTGCGGAGGGAGTAGAGTTGTGAAAATTTTTGGATCATTTGGGGTCTGAATGAGGATAGTGAATATGATGTGTTCACCTTTCTTGTGCCTGAGTGCCTGCCGTGGGAGCTAGGGAAGGAAGGGGAGGCTGGCTGCCGGATGAGGCATGCTGGAAATCCTTCATCCCAGCCTGTGCCACCTCACCTGCCTGCACCCGCCAGTGCCTTAAAATTTGCAAACATTTATAGCCTCAATCAATCATTCACCGACATACTTCGTTCTCTGATCCCACACACGTGTAAGGGGCTTCTCTCTCTCTCTGGCCTCCTGTGGCAGAGATCGGAGTTTGCTTGATGAATTCTAACGCACTGCTTACAGCTATGAGAAATGCTTGTTCTAATAAAAGTCTACAGTCTAATCATACAAATGGTGTGATGTCTCAGCCGTCTTTTACTTGTTCAGGTGGCTATTCCCAAGTACTGTAAGATAAAAGCCTGAGTCATTCTCCCCAAGATGGGAAATAAGATTGAAATTTCTGGGAAACACGTACACCTCTGGCTCCTCGCAACTTTAGTAGCAATAACCGTTTTTCACACACATGGTGCAGCTGTCACATCAGGGACTGTGCTAGAGAAAGACACGTGCCGTCCCTGCCCTTCAGAGCTCACATTCAAGACAAGGGGTGGGGGACATGAGCAATAGACACATAAATACACGAGTAAATAAGGTCATTGCGGGCCCTGAGAAACGATACGGAAGTGATTAGCAGGATAAGGTAGTGAGTTGTGTCTGAGGTGGTGGAGTGGCCCGGGGCTGTTTCAGCTGCACTGGTTGGGGGAGGCCTCTGGGAGGTGGCGAGAATTCTGTTGAGAGCTGACTGATCTCAGTGATGCAGAGGAGACACGTAAACACAGGTTGGGGGAGGAGAGCAGAAGTATTTGGGGCAGGAGACAGATTAGGAAATAGACATTGTTCCCTGTGCATCTTAGCCTGTTTCTTTCTTTTCCCTCTTGGATTTCTGCCGTGCCCTAAACGTAGATATACCTAATCATGTCAGTGCCCCATTTTGGTGGCTTGGAGGAAATGCTTTCCAAATAGAAGGACCAGGACATATAAGTAGCTGAAGACTGGGAGGAATGTGTGGTGATGGAGAAACAGAAAGGCCCAGGGCTAGAATAGTGTGAAGTCATGAGGGTGACGCTCCAACAATGGGATTAGTGTCTTGTAGGAGAAAGGGGCAGGAGCTCCCCCTCTTGGTCATGTAAGGACACAGCAAGAAAGTGGCTGTCCATAAGCCAGGAGGCTGGCTCTCACCAGACACCAGAACTGTTGGCACCTTTATCTTGGACTTCTCAGCCTCCAGAATGCTGAGAAACAGATGTTTCCTGTCTAAGCCACCTAGTTTATAGTATTTTTGTTACAGCAGCTCAAGCTGACCAAGACAGGTAGCCTGTGCTGAATCTTTTTGTTCCTCCAGATACAGACTCAACCCTCCTTCATCTTGCCCTGTGTCCTGTGATCCTGAGAGGGCTGCAGCAATAGGCTTCCGTGCTTTCTTGCTTTAGTTTGGATCTGGCCTCCAGGAAGCACTGGTAGGATGGGAGATGAGTTAGGTGAAGGTATTTGCTCTCCCTGCAGGTCTCCATGGGCTGGATGACCATGGGTGGGACAAGCTCATACTGTTGCTCATTGTGACCTACAACCCCGTTGTTTTGGGTTTTAACCTTGTATATGTTCCCTGTATGAATGAACCTCTCCTTAATTAGCCAGATTGAGTGTGCCCTCTGCTTTCTGGCAAGACCTTCGCAGACATTCACAGGGAAGGTAAACTTTTCTTCCATGATCAATGCCAAAAAATACTGTGAAAAGACACTCTTGTTCTATGTTCATGTCAATTAATTAAAACTATTGTTAAATACTATAGCCTGTAAAACCCTAGGTTTTATAGATCATTTGGTTGACCGCCCTCATTTTATAGGTGAGGAAGCTGAGGACCCAAGAGGCAATTTCTCACTATTGGAAAGTACCACCTCTTCACTTACATATCAAAGACACCTCGGTCCTGTGTTTTTCAGGCCCCTGGCCTCAGTCCTGACCTCTGGGGCCACCAGGGAGTCTGACCCTCTTCTTTAGGAGATAGATACTTGAGGCTATTTGAAGAACACGTTCTCTCCAAAGGATCTTTTCTAGGCTAAATAGCTTTCTAGATTCCTTCTAAAACCCTGAATCACACCTGCTGGCCTGCTAGGTACCCTGGGCCCCAAAATGAAGGTACTTTGTCTAAGGTTCTGTTGTCTAACATGTAGCCTGCAGTCACAAGTAGCTATTTAAATTCATTTATTTTTTTATTTTTTGAAGTCCGACAAGAACTTATTTTATTTCTGTCTGTGGGAACATACAAATCAATTGCATTTCATCGTTCACTAAACTTTTTAAAAACACCTTTATTGTTGAAATTATTACAGATGTCCCCTATTCCCCCCATTGATCCCCTCCTCCCTGCTCCAACATCCCCCCTCCTACATCCCCCGAACTATACATTAATTAAACTTAAATATAACTAAAAATGCAGTTGAACTATCTAATTTCAAGTACTCAATAGATAGCTACAAGGGCTAGTGGCTGCCATAGTGGATTTGCAGATTTAGAACATTCCACAGAATTATCACAGAAAGTTCCACTGGGTAGCACTAGAGTAAGGGAGCTTGATGGGACTTGTATGTCCTTTGGTTTTATGATTTCCTTTAATTAATGCAGTCAAGTCATCTTGCTGGCCCATAGGATTAATAAAAGCCTAAGTATATTTCATATGAACTGCCTTTAAGACAGAGCCTCTCCATTCATATTCTTATACCCTTCATCTATTACCATTTTAACCTTTGCTATAGGAATTGACCCTCATTCTTTGTTTTGTTTATTTGGGCCCTCCATTTCAGTTTGCTAAAATAATTTAATGTAGACTCTGAAATCTGAAACACAGTTTCCCTCTCCCACTTTTGTGTCATGCATGGGCTTCATTAGCATGTCCTCAAGTATCGTCTTGAAAGTCATGATGCAAAATCTTGAACTGGGCAGTTCACTCAGAAAGACCTGTCACTTGTTTAAGGTCTTAGAGCATCGGTTATACTTAGCCTTGTCACTCACTGCCACTCCTGACCCTTCCTCCCTCAGTCTGTACTAGAAACTGCCGGTAGATTTCATGCTTTGTCTGCTGAGCCCAGATCTACCTGCAGAATTCTCCACAGAGGACTTGGGCAGCCACTGCCAACCAACCAGACTTGGATTTCCAGGAGAAACCCCTTTTCTTCCAGGCAGACCCAGAATCTTTGACTAATGCTTGAGATACAGTGTCTCAACCAGTTGTAAATTCGTCTAAGAGAGAAATTATACAGATAATATTTTAGCCACAACACGGTGATCAGAGAACGGGGCAGATGCTTTGTGGACATCCAGAAATACCATGAAGCTTATGAAGCGATGAACTCGAGTCAGACAGACCTGACTGAAAATGCTGGATCTGCCCTCACAGGTTGACTGACAGCCAGAAGGTCGGAGGATCTCTCTGAGACTCAGTCTCTTGGAGTGTAAAATGCTGATGATAATACCTACGTTGCAGCGTTGTTGGGAAGATGAAATATGTTTTTATACACATATAAAAGTCATTCCCTGGAAATTTTATAAACTATTCAAACAAACTTACAATGTTTGAAAAATGTCGCTGATCATTCTGGGGCCAGAGTAGATTCACAAAAATAAGTGAGATTAAAAGTATCATTAAAAAAATCTCCTTTTCATAAGAAGACTTAACAATATCTATTATATAGGACGTACCTAACAATGTCTCAAGCTGTATATATAGTATATATGATATATATTATATATTGATATCCAGTTGTTCCAACACTATTTTTTAAAAAGACTATTATTTCTCAACTAAATTGATTTTGCACATACATTGAAAACCAATTGTCCATATAAATATAGGTCTATTTCTGGGCCGCCTGTTCTGTTTTATTAATCTGTTTGTCTATCTTTATGCCAATACTAGTGTCTTGACTATTATAGATTACTAGGTAACTTTTTTTCACTAATTGATGCAACATTTACAGTCTGTCTGCTATGTATCAGTCACTGGATTAGTTTATTACACAGTTAATATCTTACAATACATGTTTTTATTCTGTTTTGCAAATTAATCATAGCGGTATGCCAATCTCAAAATTTGTAGTCAATGAATGCATTGATTTTAAAATAAAATGATGAAAAAATTAGCCCTTTAAAAAGTTATGCATGCACTTATTTGGGATAATGTGGCTTAAATTCACCACCCAATCACGCTGACAGCTAGATAAGTCTTACAATCAGGGAGTGTGACTGGTGAAAATCAGTGAAACTTATGAAGTTCAGGCCCTTCTCTAATTTCATATATGGTAATTAAGCCCTTGAGCCGGTGTGTTCAGTGGTTAGAGTGTCAGCCCAAGCACTGAAGGGTCACGGGTTGGATTCCTGGTCAAGGGCATGTACCTGGATTGCAGGTTTCATCCCCAGGGCTCATGCAGGCAGGAGGCAACTGATGTCTCTCTCATTCTCTCTCTCTCTCTTTCTATTCCCCCACTTCTACTCTCTCTTCTCTAAAAAAAAACAAAAAAACCCAGAAAACAATATCCTCAGGTAAGATTAACAAAAACAATAGAAAATAAGTTACTTAAATGTTTCTTTTCCATCATTCAGCATGAATATTCCCTACATTTCTCTACAGCTTGATTATTTTTATTTAAAAAAAAAAAAAAAGTGCTGTGAGCATTGGAAAGCTGTTTTTTCTGGTCCCAACAAGTTCATGTAAAACCATCGCTCAGGAGTTGAATTTTCCAAGCAGCCTTCACAAGGGCCCGGTGGATCCCTAACAGTGAGCTGCCAGCAGCCCTGAGAACTGGACCGACAGGGAAGGATCTGCTCCTCGGGAAACGTGGTGTGAATACAATTGTTTTAAACCTCTCGTCGGAAATGTGAGCTTCGGCAGTTTATATCATCACTTCATAGCATATTAAGTCACTTTATAACCTTTAGCAAAATCCGGTAGCATAAGTTCTCCAACTTTATTCTCTTCTGTTGCTATGCTCGTGGTTATATTAGGTCCTTTGCATTTCCATATGCATTTTAGAATCAGCTTGTCAATTTCTGTAAAAACAAGTCTGCTGGGATTTCAACTGAGATTACATTTAATCAGAAAATCAATTTGGGGAGAATTTACAGCTGAAAAATATTGTGTCTTGCAATCTGTGAACACAATATAGTTCTCAGTTTATTAATTCATTTTATTTCTCTTAATGTTTGTGATTTTCGGTACCTAGGTCTTGCTCATATATTTTTAGATTTATTCCTAGGTATTTCATATTTTTATGGAGTTGTAG